TCACAGGTTCATCAAGTTCATCGAAATTATCCATCCTCGATCACTTCGACGAAACTCCTCTAAGCTAGCACGTCTTTTCAAAGTTAAAGTAGCCTTGTCACCTGACCTAAATACAACGCGCTGATTCGCTAAAATGGACTTATCAACTTCGGTTCAAAAACAACAAGGGCGCTTTTCGGCTTCTGCGGTAAAACGTGAACTTGCGATGCCTTGAAAGTGGACAAAACTGGCTTTTTTGATTACACAGTGGTGTGAAAAAGTGTTGGCCCCCTTCCTGATTTCTTAGCTACCAAAATGTATAAAACCATTCATGCGCATGAAGAATTCAGTTCGGTGCTCGCGCCTCGCGCGCATACGCTCAAAGCGCGCACATACAGAGCGGCATTTCAGGCAGAGCACGTTTCTCTTTCACTTGAATGGAGACATACATGCAAAATTATCTCGGCAAGTATTTTCATGTCTTAAAGGTGCAATGTGTAATATTTACAATGATCTATTGACAGAAATGCAATATAATATACATAACTATGTTTTCAGAGGTGTATAAAGACCTTACTTAATGAACCGTTATGTTTTTATTACCTTAGATTGAGCAATAATCGACATACACCGCGGGTCCCCTTACATGGAAGTCGCCACCATGTTTCTACAGTAGCCCTAAACGGACAAACTGCTCTACACAGCACGTTTCGTCACTTTGTTGTTCTTGCGAATAAAACACTGACACAATGATGAACAAGTACATTAACATTCGCAATAACATCGATTTATTGAATGATTAAGTAAATATAATTCCTTAATTTACCTTTGTAAAGAAATCGCATTGCTCTCTGCTGTCTTTACCGACAGCATCTTTACCTGTGTAGGCCACCGTAGCTTCTCTAAAGGGAGGGGTGAGCGGGGGACTGAGCCGTTGGTTGCAATTTGCAACCTCACCGCTAGATGCCGCTAAAATTTACACACTGCACCTTTAAATGAACGTAAACAGTGGAGAAAGAAATCACACGTGTATCATTATATTGGATCCATGCATTCAGTCTTAAAGGGCAGCAGCCTATAAATACCTGCTGTTTAAGTGCCACCTGCTGTCAGAGAGTGACATTTTCATCTCATTCAGCCCGTCTGCTGTTTTTGTTTTGTTCAGATTTTTTATGTAGTATCACAAAGCTAAAGTCAGACCATTTTGTTTTTGTTTCAAATTTCAATTTGTTTCAATTTTACAATCTAAATAACATTTATGCAGCATCTTTGTTTGGATCGTGATTAAAATACACAGGTAAAACCTTAGTTTACGTGCATGGAGACATTTCTTTTATTTGTATTATTTATTTATTTGATTTGGGATTTGTTTTAAAATTTCAAGTTAGTATATTGTTTGACATTTTCAATTTCACAAAGTAATGTGCAGCTTTTTGGTCTGAGAAATAACAAAAGGACACCTTTTTTTAAAATCCGTCTTAAATCTCATCTCAAGAAATTGTGAGAAAATTGTATTGTGAAATCAGTATCGTGAATCATATCACATCGTGAGTTGAGTGAATCGTTCTTACATTGTAACATTGCAATCTAAAAACAAAAATAAGGCTTTTAAAGCGGAAGTTAAATTCACTAAACTAAAAATGAAAATAAATGAGAACAAAAGCACAGTTGTGTTAGGCGATTTTGATTACCCCATTTCAGTCACTACAGTCAGTGCTATCATAAAAATAAATAAATAAATAAAATAAAATTTTACATGTCACATTTATTGTCCAACTACAAATATTTAAGCGAAATGTATATTTTAGTCAGAAGTATTGCGCTCCTATTTAATTGAGCTGTGTCTGTTTGGCTCGCATGCACGTTGTGGCGCTCGTTCACTGAAGTCTGTGAAATTTAGCGGAGAATCCCAAAACAGAAGGCTCATGCACTTCTGACAGAAAAATTGACATATTTCCATGGCTTTCTAACATGTACAGATGGAGAATATACCTGTGAAATGTAAGTTATGCATTCAGGAAGACCGCACATCTCAAACACATTAAACAACGCGAGTAGCCTAGTGTCTCTGTCTGCGACACATGCAGCCTTTCTGTCAGAGCATATGACGGGCCGAGCCGCTTAAACTTATATGCTAAACGAAACTATAAACGATGTATTACCAGTTTTTAAAGGCTTTAATATGAAGCTTTTCACATGTTTAGAACAAACTGGATTATGCACTTTCTCCGCAGCAGCTCAGTCTGTGTCCTCCGCTATATTTTCAGATGCGCTCGTATCAAACTACTGTATATCAATATAAACGGTATTGCCTCACATCAAATCGCTTATAAAGAAAATATTGATATATCGTACAAACTCGATATACCGCCCAGCCCTAATATATATATATATATATATATATATATATATATATTCGCATGCACGTTGTGGCGCTCGTTCACTGAAGTCTGTGAAATTTAGCGGAGAATCCCAAAACAGAAGGCTCATGCACTTCTGACAGAAAAATTGACATATTTCCATGGCTTTCTAACATGTACAGATGGAGAATATACCTGTGAAATGTAAGTTATGCATTCAGGAAGACAGCACATCTCAAACACATTAAACAGCGCAAGTAGCCTAGCGTCTCTGTCAGCGGCACATGCAGCCTTTCTGTCCGATCATCTGACGGGGCAAGCCGTTTAAACTAATATGCGAAACGAAACTATAAACTATGTCTTACCAGCTTTTAAAGGACTTAATATGAAGCTTGTCACATGTTTAGAACAGTTTGGATTATGCACTTTCTCCGCAGCAGCTCAGTCTGTGTCCTCCACTATATTTTCAGATGCGCTCGTATCAAACTACTGTATATCAATATAAACGGTATTGCCTCACATCAAATCGCTTATAAAGAAAATATTGATATATCGTACAAACTCGATATACCGCCCAGCCCTAATATATATATATATATATATATATATATATATATATATATATACAGTACATACTGTATATAATTTAGTTATCACAGCTATGAACCATGATTTTGTACTTGGTGATTGGTTTGCAGGTGGTATTGCTCATTATAGACAGCATCTGATTGGACAAAAATCTTTTTTAAGATTAGCCTACATACATTTAATATATAATCATTATATAATATATAACATTAGGCTATACATACAATAATATATATATATATATATATATATATATATATATATATCGATATGTATAGCTTATAAAATACAAAATCTCTGTATAGGTATATATTATGTGTATATTTTTCTTTCTTTCTCATTTCTGTGAATCAAGACTAGAGCTTTCAAGCTTCAAAAATTATGTAACAACATTATAAAAGTATAATAAAAAATAGTGCATAAGGTTCATACATTATATTCCAAGTCCTAAGACTGCAATTTATGCATACGCATATATTCATGTTTGGCTTGGTTTTGATTTTCAGTTTCACTGCTTCAATAAAATGGTTGATATGACTCAATGTTTGCACAATGATGATTCTGTCAGAGACTGTTACATTTTTAGGCAGTCTAAAATCTAGTTTCCCGTATTTCAATTCTTCTAGGTGGGCAGAACCCAGACTACATGCTTCACGGCACTGGGGTCAAGCCCGGATCAGATCCAAAGAGACCACTGTCAGGGGACGGGTTCACCGTGGCCCCAGAGGATGCTGCCCGCTTCCTTAGCTGCTACTGTTCAGGCCACTGCCCCGAAGATGCCACAAACAACACCTGCGAGTGAGTACACCGTGTGCTTTTCCTTCTGTTCACAACAGCCACTTTCCTCACCCAAATGTGCACACTGTGATTAAATGGTCTTTTTGTGTTTACGCAGCACGAACGGCCAGTGTTTTGCTATCATAGAGGAGGATGAGCATGGTGAGGCTATCCTCACCTCTGGCTGCATGAAGTATGAGGGCTCCCACTTCCAGTGCAAGGTAATACATGAACAGGAGGGTGAAGAATAAATGCTTAAGTGCTGAGACATTATCATTGACTGAATGTGGTTATTGTTGTGCAGGACTCTCCTAATGCTCAGACCAGACGGACCATTGAGTGCTGTTCCACTGATTTCTGTAATAGAGACCTTCAGCCCACACTTCCACCTCCTATTCCAGGAAGTGAGTAGCACTTCACTTAAGAACAACCTAAATATAATAAATACTGTATATGTATGTGTGTGTATATATACGCTTGTGTTCAAAAGTTTGGAGTCTGTAAGATTTTTGAAAGAAGTCTCTTTTGCTTTTATTTAATCAGTAATACATTACACAATTTAAAATAATGTTTTTTGTTTTGTTTTGTTTTGTTTTTTAGTAATATTTTAAAATGTAGTTTATTCCTGTATTGGCTAAACTGAATTTTCAGCAGCCATTACTTCAGTCTTTAGTCTTCAGTGTCTAATATGCTGATTTGGTGCTCAAGAAACATTTCCTATTATTATCAGTTTTTAAAACTCTGTGATCTCATTGTAATCCAGAGCCTCAGTTATGGAACGCCCACTTGCTGGCCTTTCTGATCTCCGTGATGGTGTGTTGCTTCACTTTGGTGGCCATAACTGTGGTGTGTTACTACAGGTGAGACTTTTATTTCATAATGACATGTTTATCCAGCTGAAATGAATGAAAGATGCACCTCAGTCTGTTAATTATTGACCAGCACACTGATAACACTGGCAGAGGCATACCTGTTTAAGATAGTCAAGTAAATTTAGCACCTTTTATGGTTGACCTTAATGCATGGATATATACTGTGTCTCTTAGTAATAAGTAACTGATCCCTTTGTGGAAGGCTTCTGTGATGTAACATCATATTGAAGGTGATTATATGCTTTGTGTGGCTGTTTGATCAGGTATAAGCTGCAGACAGGACGGAGACGGTACCAGAGAGATCTGGAGCAGGACGAGGCCTTCATCCCTGCAGGAGAGTCTCTCAAAGATCTCATTAGTCAGTCCAGCACTGGCTCCGGTTCAGGGCTCCCCCTGCTGGTGAGGCACCATTTCTGAACATGTTTTTCATTATAAGAACATGGTTTTAAAGGTCATTGAAAACCAGTAAATATCAGAGAATTGTGGTTTTCAGTTATAAAAAAAAAAAGTCAGGGAAAGGTAATGGAAATTTCTTTAGTAATTATAAATGTTTGTAGTTGTGCACAGATCTAAAATATTTTATTGGCCAGAAAATTAGTTTTGTGTTTTGTTTTGTTTTGTTTTGAAAATCATTATCCAGTAGGGGTGTAACGGTACACGTATTTGTACCGAAAATTTTCAGTTCAGGTCTTTCAGTTCGGTGTATGTGCATATGTACCGAACAAATCGTTCCATTTTTTCAGGAAATTCAGACAATAAATGCTGTTTCTACACTTTTTTTAAGGGGTGACATATCACCGTATACTAACGGCGGAGCTCGGTAATTTTTATCACTATTTTATTACTATTACTATTTTTATACTTTATTACTATTTTTAATGCAAAATATTCATGAATGAACATCTCACCCCTCACATAATCGCTCAATTAGTGTTGAAAACAATTTACATGTTTGCATACAATTTTTAAATTTGAGTGTTGAATATTATAGTTAAAGTGTAAAGTAATTGAATTTAAGTTTGGGCTCTGTTGTTAATTGTAAACTTATAACAATATAAAAGAGCTCCCTATAGTTTAGAGCAGAAGCTGATGTAGATTTTTATCTCTAAGAAAATGTATTATAATTGAATTTATTTAAAGAAAGAGCAATTTGTTCAGTAAACCATTGTTAAATAAAAAAAACAAAACAATTTATGTTTAGTTTTTTCCTCCTGCTGTACCGAAACCATACCGAACCGTGATGTCAAAACCGAGGTACGTACAGAACCGTCATGTTTGTATACCGTTACACTTCTATTATCCAGTAATCACAAATTGCTGAAAATGTCATGAAACTGAAAACATCATAAATTCATTGGTCAGAAGGCGTGGGAACCCTTGACAAATGGTTTTGCAACTTTTGTTGGTTCGGAACCGTGAAATATTTTGATTTCTGATACATGGTTGTCCAGTTTTCTAATTGTCCAATGTCGATTCACAGGTCCAGCGCACCATTGCCAAACAAATTCAGATGGTACGTCAAATCGGGAAGGGGCGGTATGGAGAAGTGTGGCTTGGTCGCTGGAGAGGAGAAAAGGTTGCGGTGAAAGTGTTCTTTACCCGTGAAGAGGCTAGTTGGTTCAGAGAGACCGAGATTTACCAAACGGTGCTCATGAGGCACGAAAATATACTCGGTAGGTTCCATCACAAAAAAAAGGCCAGAGACACTGAGTAGGGACACATTATATTGTATATATGCATTTAAAATAATCATTATCGATGTACAGAGTCAAACACGTTTCTATTCAAAATATTATCATATTAAGGGACAATGAAACATTTACCTGGTTCATGGTAGTTTTTTTGTAGTTTTGTACCCTGATATAAAACATTTACAGATTTAATATTTTATTTACATTAACACTAACTTTTCCTATCTTGCTCCAGGCTTTATAGCTGCAGATATTAAGGGCACGGGAGCGTTCACTCAGCTTTTCCTCATCACAGACTACCATGAGAATGGTTCTCTCTATGACTATCTGAAATACACCACCCTGGACACACAGGCTCTGTTGAGGCTGGCCTATTCTGCAGCCTGCGGCCTGTGCCACCTCCACACAGAGATCTATGGTACGCAGGGCAAACCTGCCATCGCTCACAGAGACCTGAAGAGCAAAAACATCCTCATAAAGAAGAATGGCACCTGCTGCATCGCTGATCTGGGCCTGGCTGTGAAATACAACAGGTGAAGACACTCTTGCAACACACACTCAGACATGCATGCAAACACACCGGCAACGTAAAAAAAAACATAATTGAAGCATACTTTATTTACAGCTAGTATGCAATCATGTGCATTTGCTTTTATTTTAGTGATACCAATGAGGTGGACGTCCCTCTGAGCACAAGGATGGGCACACGACGGTACATGCCACCAGAGGTCCTGGATGAGACCCTAAATAAGAACCAATTCCAAGCGTACATAATGGCTGATATTTACAGCTATGGGCTCATTGTTTGGGAGATGGCCCGCCGATGCGTGACAGGAGGTTAGTTTATGTGGGTTATGTCAGTGTATGAGATTAAAATGTGTACACATTTCAAAGCATGTTTATGTGATGGGTTTGTTTTAATAATGGCATTTTCTTTTATGTGCAGGTATTGTTGAGGAGTATCAGTTGCCATACTGGGACATGGTACCTTCAGAACCATCCTACGAGGACATGAGGGAAGTGGTGTGTGTTAAAGGCATGCGACCAGTGGTGTCTAATCGCTGGAACAGTGACGAGGTAAGATCTAGCATTGCAGTTTAGTTCAACAGCGCTCAGTTAAAATTTTTTGAAAAACTCAAAAGACAGAAACAAACAGTGTTGCATGATCCTTCAGAAATCATTCAAATATGCTAATGTGGTGCTCATGAAACATTTCTTCATTCAGAATTCTTTGAATAGTAAGTTGAAACGAACAGCGTTTATATGAGAGAATTTTTTAACCATCTACAAATCTTCAAGTTAAAAGTCAATCTTATAAAAACTTAATTTTGTCAACATGTATGAATACATTTGCCATAAAGTTGATCTCATTCCTAAAATGCCACAAAACGTTTGATTTCATGGGTTTTTTTTAAACATCACTGCTTTGTAACTGACTATTTTATAGTTGTGTAAAATGCAACCCTAAACAATAGTTTTTTTGTTTTTTGTCTCCACGCAGTGCTTACGGGCCATGCTAAAGCTCATGTCTGAGTGCTGGGCACACAACCCAGCCTCTCGCCTCACAGCTCTTAGAGTCAAAAAAACACTCGCCAAAATGGTTGAATCACAGGATATCAAAATATGATCAGTTTTCCCTCCAATGCCAGTCTGAGAGAAATCATGGAGATATTTATGCTCACTTTTATGAATTATTGCCTCAGTTCCTAAACAGACCTGTGGCAGTGCTGCTGAGCAGAACATTTGCCTCCTTGTCTGGCTGTTTCCTCGCCCTGTTGCAGTAATGCTCTTAGTGTCATGTAGCACCCTCTGCTGGACTGTATGTGCCATAGTGCATCCACGAGGAACTAAGGACAACTGGTCTGCAGGCATCGGTACTCACATCCTCCCCATTGCCACCATTTTTCCTTCTTCAGATGCTCTTTTATATATTGGGAGAGATTCGAAGAGCATATGGTGCTTTCTGTGAAAGCTGTGTAATACGATACGTCTGTATGGAGGAGTGGCATGGTGCCAGCAGTGATGGAGCCGTTTGGGAGAAGGCTTGACGACGGACCCCTCTGTTATTGACTGAGTTGAGAGGCGGACATATTTGGGGTGATATATTATGCTTGGGATATGCTCCAGTGTGGCTAGCGTCCCAAAATGACAACTTTGCATTTGGATCATGTGCAGCTGTGGCCACTGAAACATCAAAAGTGAACAGACCCTATTTAATTCAAATGACCTATATTATATGTATAAAACTAAAAAATGTCCCGTTACTACATATTGATATTTTAATTAATAGCCTTTTTGAAAAATTATTCCTTCAACTGCTTTCCTTTCTGAGAATCTGTCCAAAAAAGAGTGTTAGCAATAAGGTTTACTAGTTGAAACCTTCCCATTTTCTGAAGACTGGGAATGTATTCACCATTAGGAATAGAAAGTTCAGGTATAATGACAGGAGTAATGTGATCATTACTCCAGCTCTGGCCTGAAGAATTTAAGTACCACCGGTCAAATATTGCCAACACCGCCGCCATACAAGATCTGTTCATCTAGAAGATATGGTGACTTTCAGTCTCTCAGAATGGCAGATCTGATCTGGCTTATTGCAGGTGTGTCGGTGCAGATGTATGCCCACTGCTCCCGAATGCCTCATAAATGTTGTTGTATTTTATCCAATAGCCTTCGAGTGAACCTCACTATATCACATCTGATTCATCAGTGTCAGGTTGGATTGCTGTTTTCAATGCCTCATTTAAACAGTTTTGCCTTGAATCTAATGTGACGCTTGGGAATCATATGACTCATAAATGTCTAATGTGATAGAATAATGCAAATGCATGTGCTATTTATTCATGTCATGTCATATAGTATAAATTACTGTGGTATGATATTTTTACTTGCAGGACTATTAACATTGTTCTTGCAACTGACATTCTCAATGCTTTTACAGTGCAGCTCAAACTTTCAAATACTAAATTTATGACTTCAAGATGAAATTCTACATTTAATGACTTCCTATGAAAGTGTGGGTGTGAATTATCATTATTTGTCATTTCTATAATGTGTAAAACTAGACCCTTTGTATGTAATTTACTGAAAAGTCAGGACAGGCAACTTTAGTTCAACTTTCATATACATGAAAAGACTTTTTTTTGCAAGAGCGTAATCTCAAACTTAAATCACACACCAATGCATTATTAGCACTTGTGGAAAATACAGGTTTAATTTCAAAACCAGGGTCCTTTGTCTGAAAAAAATAATAAAATTGGTCATTCCTGCCTTCAGGAATGTTATATTATCGGGGTGCATTTAAATAAGTTGTTATAGCAGTCTGAGAAATATAAATCATACAGGTACAAAACCCTTTACTTTGCATTGAAGATTCAGATATCCCATTGCTTGTGTGTCTTTTCTAAATGTTTGGGCTGCAGTTGTCCTCAAGCCTATTCTGTCCATTGCAACCATGCCAGTTACTTTGTAAAATCATATCTGAACTAATTTAAGCTCATATGTCTAGAGAAGTGACTACACAATGTTTTGTCTTAATTGTTTAATATGTAAGGAAACGTAAAATGGCCTGAATAATATGAACTTTGTTTTAATCTGGTTTTAAGAGAGGTGCCTTATGTTTTCCAAGAAAAGCTGTTCTGTACACAGAATTAGTCCAATGTATCAATTTTTAAGTAAATTACCTTATTTTAGTACACAATCATTATGGGGTTTTTTTTCTTCTTGATTGACATTTTGCGTTGAATGTGATCAAACTGAATGAAGGAATTGCTGGATGTCCATTTTTTGATGTACAGAGTTTCCCTCACTATTGGTACTTTTGTTTTTTCATATTGCCTCAGGAACTTGTTTCCATGTATTCCTTGCCTTATTATTAGATCCTCCACATTTTAAAGATCAACAGAAGGGCTGGTGGTATCTAAATAATTCTGTTATATAACTGTCTCCCCCTTATTTCTTTAACTTACCATGTTTCTCAGTATTATTCCAGAATCAGTTACAAAACATAATATTTCAACAAGTACTTTTTGCACCTTCAAGAAGAGGCTTCATGCATACAAAATACAGCATGTCTGGCAGTGACGCACAGTTCGTCAGATTCAAATGTATCCTCCCATGCTTCTGTCACTCACCCAGTTCTCTTCACAGCATGTCCTTGTGCTCCGTAATGAAGAGCAATAGTCCAGACAGTGTGTTGTCCCCAGGCTGCGCTTTTCGTAATGATCCATGCATCAAATCTAATGTAACTGTCTCCCCTTGCTGAAGCTCCAGCAAGGAGGCTCGGCTCACTGGTCCCATTTTCTCCCCTTGTTCCTGTCTGAGAGAGGCCACTGGAACTCCGCTGCGCTTTAATACAGCCAATGAAAGGCCTCTCTCAAAGTCTAAGGTTACTAAAAAGAGATAGAATCCAGTCTCAGGGGCCTGGAACACCCCTGATGTAGGATTAAAAGTACCACCATAGTTCACAGCTACGTTTTTCGATGTGAGCTCCCCATTTGGTCCTCTTCTGTAGTCCAGGGTTGTGATGAACACCACGGGGGAATGTGGTAACCAAGCATGTTCTGAAGAGATAAAATTATTTTGATGATTTTTAGGTAAAAAATTATCATTTTCAGTTAGAGGAAAAATGCTTTGTCATGATGTAGTTTTAGTGTTGTCCACTGAGGGGCAGTGTTGTTGTATGTACACTATGCAGGTCTCTCAGTATCAAAAAACTTCATTCATGTTCAAAATTAATGGCAAATTAAATAAATGTAGTAAGATCTCTTACCTCTTTCACTGTATCTTTTGCTTCGCTCACTGGAAGACTTTTCTTCTTTTTTGATCTGGTCTTCTTGCTTTAGACTCCCCCTTCTTCTCTTTCCTTCTTTTTTTCTCACCAGTCTCCAAACTTCATCTAGATTCAGGTTTCTGGTCGAGCTGATCAGTTCTTCTGTATTACTGAACAGTTTTCGAAACATTCTCAAATGATCCTCCAGGTTCTGACGTAGGGATGCTATATCTACCTGCAGTTCTACAACAGAACCACCAGGTGGCGCAGTGCAGTTTCCACAGCGTTCTTCCAGCATGGCTATTCTACCTGCTAATTGCTCCACCTCTTTTCCCAGACTCCAGAAGTCACTGACTGAATAATCCACATCCTCCTCTCCAGTCGAAGTGTCTGGTAAAGAGGACTGGTAACTTTCAGGGCCCCTCACCTGGTTATTTGTACCAGTCCCCTCTAAGTATGTCACTGGGTCATCGCTATTCATTTCATCTCCATCAGGATGCTTTCTCCGAAGGGAGGCCAGAATCCTATCATGTGTTTCAATCTTTTGCTGCATCACATCCATTTTCTGTAAAAGATCTGGGATACTGAGCTCTTTCTTTTGGTTGTGTGACCAGCGTGTGAATTCCAGGACCTCCTCTCCGAGTAGCACTTCCAGGACTTCAGAGTGGCGTATGGCATCGTTCAGGAGGGAAGAGAAGATGGCTGATAGGCCTTGAATTTCATTTGACTTGTCCTTGTCCCGCTGCCTCAGGCCTCGGATCTCCTGCTGGCTGTCCAGGAGTGAAGCCTGTAGCTGGGACATGCTGTCTTGAAGACTCCTGCTTCTGCCCTGCTCAAAAGCCAATGATTCCTTTATGTTCAGCAGGCCCTGATGAAGATCCTCCATTTCGGTTACCTGATTCCTTTCTAGATCTGTCTCCTCAAGTGCAAGCTGGTTCTGTTTGGCTAAATGTGTCGCATTAGCCACCTCCAGCTCCAACCTAGCTAGTGAACTGCCAATCGACTTGCAGCTACAGGCCTGCTCTTCAACTGCTGAATCATTTTTTTGTAGTTGTTGATAGATATTGTCCAGGTCAAGCTCAATTTCTCTCAACTGACCTTCGTGTGCACTTAGGTTAGCTGTAAGCTCGCCAACTCTGTTGAGCACCCTGACACGAGTAGCCTCCACCTCCAGACCAGTCTCTGCAAAGTGGACCTCAGTTCGTTGTTTGACCTCCTCTAGGCTCTCTTCCAGGTCCAGTAGGTCTCTTTGCAAAGCCCGGACCGCTCCATCAGAGTCCTTAGAAGTCTCAGACAAGCTGCTGAGCTTCGCAGAGTTACTTTGTGCCTTCTCATCTAGTCGAGTGATGGCCTCCCACACTCCTGACTCCTGTGTTGGCTGGCCTCCACTCGGATTGACAAACTCAGCATGTTCTCTCTGCAGTGCCCCTTCCAGCTTCTTCTGGCCAAGTTTCACCTCCTCAACCAATTCAGTTAGAGACTGGAGATTCACCTGTTGGTATAACACAAAATATATTATATATTAACTTAAGCACTTTTTTATGTGTTAGTTTTTTTGAGTAATCATTTCAAGTTGTCCTAGTGAATGAATGACCTGTGCATTCTGACTTTGACTGATCTGATCATCCATTTCTTCCTTCAGTTTTGTTAGGTTGTGTTTCAGCAGTTCTTGCTGGACCTGAAAGGCCCTCTCAAACTGGTCTTTATGTGTGTCCAATTGGGTTTTCATTTGACTGATCTGGAGATGGCTGTACTCTAGTCTTTGCTCGATAGGTCCGCTATGATCTTCGCCTCTGGTCATGGGCCTGTGTTCTTCCTGTTCCATCCGCAACTGCTGCAAGTCCTGAGACAATGCTTCCACCTCACTGGACAGATGTATCAGAGTTTGATTGAAGCTTTCCAGCACTGGTTGAAGCTGACTCATCATAGTTGACATTAACTGATGCATCGACAGCAGAATGGATGAATCAAGGAATGGCAAAGGCTGAGAGGTAGGGATCCCTTCTCTGGCACCTGGAATATTGATAACAAGCCACTTTAATGTAAAGACTTACAATTTTTATACTTTTCAGATGTTAATTAGTGAAAACTACAGTGGCCCAGTAGTGCACAACGCAACAAAATCTCCACAACACAACAAAATCTCTACAACACAATGAAATCTCTACAACACAACAGAAACAAGCCGCAACGTAACGAAATTAGCACAACACATCGGAAGCAAGTCGCAACATAACGGAAACAAGCCACAACAAAGCAAAATTAGCACAACCCAATGGGAACAAGCCACAACACAACGGAAACCAGTCGCAACACAACGGAAACAAGCCACAACACAACGAAATTAGAACAACACAAAGGAAACAAGTCGCAACACAACAAGTCGCAACACAACAAAAACAAGCCACAATACAATGGAAACAAGCCACAACAAAATTAGCACAATGCAACGAAAACAAGCCACAACACAACGAAATTAGCAACAACACAATGGAAACAAGTCGCAACACAACGGAAACAAGCCACAACACAGCAAAATTAGCACAACACAACGAAATTAGCACAACACAATGGAAGGAAGTTGCAACGCAATGGAAGCAAGTCGCAACAACAGAAGCAAGCCACAACAGCGAAATTAGCACAACACAATAGAAACAACATGGAAACAACAAAATCGCTGAGCTCATGCAGACAGTCTCCCTGCCAGAACCCTAGTCTCTAGAGGATATCACTGTGCCTGACGGGCACTGCATGAGCTTTTATGGTGTTTTCATCAGGAATTGCCCTTTCCTTACAGGCCTCCTAAACAAACACATCTCACTATGTCACTGAATATCTGACTTTCTACAGCTAATGCATTTTTGATGGATGTTCCTTTATAGACTGTATTTGCATTTAAACGGAATGAGCTCAGTGGTTATAGATAACATTTTCTTTGAATGAGGCTAGACTCCAGGAGAAGCTATAAACCTCTTTCCAATCATCTATTCTATGACTCATCTTGAGCATGTGGTTCACTGATGACTTTTTGCCCTGTCTCCTTCCATCTGTGGGTGATTACATCATGGTGGAGTTTGTTTATAAGAAAGAGAGGATATCCTCCAGAAGACGTCATTGTTTAAGTAGTCAAGCCATTCACATTTGAATAGTGAAATCTCACATGCCTACTGTATTGTGTCAGTCTAAATGTTCTTCCTGCATGCTGATTTTGCAGCTTACCAACAGTACTCTGGTTTGGTGAATAACCATGATTAGGAGCCTCCTGCATGGGTTTGTCAGCCCATTTTGCATCATCCAATTGGCCAGTCCCCATTTTACCTCCTAAAGAAGAACAAACACATTTTGTTTGGAGAGAGAATGTGGGAAGGAAGTTAACCAGAACATTTTGAGTTTGAGGGTAAATATTGGGCCCACGCATATGCCTAGTTGAGAGGGGTTATTTTAGACCTTAAAGATTTTCCAACATCTAATCTAGAAGATTACAGTGCTTAAAATGCTTCACGAATGTTATATTTAATGACCCAATATATTATGAAACTAAATATTATTTTTACTAAGAATGTTTTTTTTTTTTATGATATGAGGCTTAAAATATTTGGCACATGAGACTATTGTAAACCAACACATCGACTTCAAAGTTTAAGTAAAATATTACATTGATTAATGTGATTTAAACTGCAAGAGTGATGAATGGTTTATAGGATACCTTTTAAAAAGACACATAGACATATTCTACACAGGAAACAAAGGCATGAGAGCACAAAGGATGGCTTCTGGGAAAATGTCCTGCCATCAAAAAATTAACCTGCCAGATATTTTGGATATGTGGAAAACATGACTTTAAGTTGTTGTTATTCTTAAACATGATTGTTGCTTTTGCGTTCTGGCATATAGGGGCACTGTTTCTCCAGCTATCCAGTGCCAGCTGACTC